TTGGGGGAAATGCCCTGGGTTGTTGCACTTGCTGAGTGCAAGATATCAAAGTGATATCAGTGAATGCAGAGTTGGGAAGAGATCTATTTTTACCATTCGGATACCATAAATGTAAATAACCATGAGAACACAGATAACAGTACGAAGTAGAACAATAATTAGGGATTGATCTTTTTTTTTTAGCATGTATTATGTTTGTTTTCAATATAATTGATCTGATTGTTAGTTTATATAATGTAGTTTTTAATAATGGCTGTATTTAACAACTGGCTCACGAAATTCTTGAAAATCTTATGGTTGGCTCTGATGTTCCGGTAAGAGCCAGCTCCAGCACTCTGCCACTTTCAACCCTTGCCCAGAAAGACGGCTTTTCCAAAGTAGGTTCCACTAACACTGCAGGGCCATAAAGGGCTGCTACTGCTGGTTTCTGACCAAGAACAGCCTAAAATGTGTGGGAAAGTGCTATTTTTAAAGTTAAAAATGGAAAGATCTGGGACAGATATTGAGCGGAATTCCCATTTATGTGGGGATGTGCATTCTTGGAGGGGGCCAAAGTCGAGTAGAGGTGAGTGGTAGGGATCTCAGAATTAGCAAAACCCATCCATACAGGGTTATATTCAACAGATTTCTCTTTTCTATTTTGTCAACAGATTTCTTAAAGGCTAAAGAAACGGGGCAACTGGTATTGCCTGGCCATGGGATCTGTATCTCTCTCTCTCTCTTTAGAGAGACTGACGTTCACTACACTCCCTCCTCCTGCTTAGATAAATGCTGCATAAGCTATTAACACATAAACTTCTCCACCTTGCCTTTTTAAAAAACTTAAAAACATATCCTTGAGGCCACTTGATCGCCAAGCTGAGAACAGTGTTATTTCAGTGAATGGATGTACTGACCACACTATTATGCATCTTGTGAAGCATTTAAAGTCACACATATAAGAAAAGTTTCTATAAATGCCACTTGTTCCCCATGTTGAGAACTGTGTTATTTCAGTGAGTAGATGTGGTAGCTACAATGTAATGCATGTACTGAAGTGGTTAAAGACACATGAATAAACAAAGTTACTAAAAGTGAAAAAAGAGAAATCCTTGAGGCCGGCGTGGTGGCTCACGCCTGTAATCCCAACATTTTGGGAGGCCGAGGCAGGTGGATCACTTGAAGTCAGGAGTTTGAGACCAGTCTGGCCAACATGGTTTAACACCCTGTCTCTACTAAAAATACAAAAATTAGTCAGGCGTGGTAG